CCATAACGCGGGCTCGCGAAATTAGGACGTTTCATGTCGTAGCGGTGGCAACGACGGCAAAGAAATGCACAAAATAGCGTGACGCACGTGCATAGTTGTTGTTTGTTAATATAAGCATATATTTTTTTGCCGCTCTCCTTGCCGTCGCCGTCGTCGTTGGTTTTGTTAGGGAACTTAAGATGGAGACGTTTTCGGGGCGACAGCGACCGGACTGGCAGAGAAAGCCTGGAACTAAGGCAGCCGTCGCTCCCCGTCAAAAATAGACCATTAAGATCGCAGTGAACTCAGAAGGACGGCGCCTTTACTTAGAAGAATACCGAAGAGAAAAATATGTCTTCACATAAAGAATTAAGAGAATAAATATTTGCTATGCAGACAACATGTATCGGATGAAGAGTTTCTCGTTTTGAGGGAAAATTATGAGTCCAGAAATCCCGATTTTCCTCGGGACAGTTACGATCTGTTCACGCTAAAAAACGTGCGGGATGCAGCTGAGTTCAAGGCAGAATGTCGTGTTGAAAAAAATGATCTCCATAGGCTTGCCGAAGCCTTGCAAATTACAGGAACATTAAAATGCTACCAAGGAAAATGCTTGCATGAAACAACAACAACAACGGCAACAACTTTATTTCAGTATTCCCACGCCGAGTTAATACATGGTATTACCTACTATTCTATATAATTTTCAATGCGTTTCATTTCTACGATATTCTAACGAAAAGAGCGAACTAAAAACACACAATTGAAATATCGGAGTTCATATTTTTTGTCTGAATACTTTTATTTGGCTCGTGGGAAAATTTTGTCCCATGTCAAGCTCACTTAAGGTTGGCTGTTTGCCAAGGCGTAGTTGGATCTTGACCCTGTGACATGAAAACATAGAAACATTCAAAGATGTAAGTTTAGATAACAGAGCTTGGAAATCGAGCTTGAAATGTGCTTCAAAGAACACAAGGACAATTTAAGAACGGTAATCTGCAAAATGTTGGTTGCTAAACGCAACAAACCTGATTGAAATGAAGGTTAAATACTCACGTTTTCGCCACAACGCTAAACAGACCAGTTTTACGCCGCCGACGGGACCACGACTGCAAGGTGGTGAGCACGAGCATGCGCAATATCCAACAAATGATGATGTCACGTCCGGTTGAAGTTGCCGTCGCCCCGAAAACGTCTCTATATTAAGTTCCCTGTTGTCATCCAGGAATAGCGCTACTATGGTAACGTGACGTCACACTTCTCCTCTCTATTGCAAAAGTTTATCAGTCTACCAATCCATACCTTCTGGATTAAGTTTTCCATCCTGATCACCGGAATCTACAGCTGCCACATACTGAGAGGCAATAATGCTGAAGTTCTTACCGGTCTCAGGGCTTGTCATTTTCAAATATTCTGCAAGCTCTTTTGGCGTCACAAAGCCGTCTTCATTAGTGTCGATATCATCAAACAAATCCCTCTGAATTATCAAGAATTTAAAAAAAAAAACAAAATAGCACGCGCGTTATGACTGGTTAAAAACCTATGGTTTATTGTGCAGGTAAACTCATTATAAAATCAATAGACCTACACTTTCTATGGGTTTACCGGCGTGATAACCCACTTTGGATGTTGGGAAAACACTCGAAAAGCTTGTAAATCACTCGCCTTCGGCTCGTGATTTAAAACTGAAGCTTTTCTCGTGTTCTCCCAACATCCCGCTTGGGTTATCACGCCGGTAAACCCATGGAAAGTGTGGCCTATTGCTCAATTAATTTTCACTATTATCGCCCCATATATTGGAATCCAAGGCAGTATTGGATTCTGGGTCCCAAGCCGCGGGTTCTTGATTGCGGAGTCTTTGTTAGTGGAACTTCGATTCAGGATCCTGAAATCTTTAGTGGGATCCGGATTCCTTGAGCTGTATTCGGGATTACGTTACATGGGGCGACTATTAGCCAACAACGTTAACCGCCAATTGTGTGGCAGCCTTGTTTATTTGTCTATTGTTTAATCTTTGTAAATTTGCATATCCTTTGTTACTGTTCGTGCAGTTGCAAGGCGCTCTCTTAGAAGAATTCAGTATATTTTGACATTGATTAAGTTTTTTATTATAGAAAATTATAATAATAAATAAAAGGTTTCTTTATCACTTACTATTTCAGAAGTTCTTTCCCACAAGTAGAGGCTTCTGCCTGCCACAAGTGACGCAGTTGTAGCCATTAAAAGAACCAACAGTAGCTTGTATTTTGCCATGAGCAAGTTTTTTTTTTCAGTCAGCTGCAATTCAATACATTTTTCATTGTTCTTGAGAACATTTGTGAAAGAGTAGCGGAGGTTGTAAGAGACGCATACAAGTAATGATACATCGTAATTAACAAGTCTCTAGGCCTGTTAACATCGCGAGGATGAAAGTTCAGACTAAATGTTTTAATTCCCTAAGCAGTTGGGGGTGTTTAACGTTCAGTTTACGTTCATCATTTTTCCATCAGGTTTGCTCGCTACGTATCACTTCTTCTCAGACACTTCACATCGGACGCTGGGAAGCTAATGCTAATATAGTGAGCGACAACAAAAGATTTTCACTGCACTAGTATATATTAGATCTGTTTTATGTGAAGTGCGACGTAACAATCGTGTGGAACAATGGACTCAACCTCTTCTGAAGTGTCTTAAGATTCTACAGACTATTGATTCACAAAAGGTTTTGTGTCATTCTGGGCTCTTTCCAGTTTTCTTTTCAAACTAGGTTCCCATGGGGATTTCTGCGTTATTCGAAGGAACTTGACGCCCCAACATGGAGAATAATGTGCCCAATTTTCATAAAATTTTGCGAACGACGTTTGTTCAAATTGAATTTAAAAAAATTTACGGCAGTGACCGAAAAGTACGATGACAGCTTAAAGTGTGATACACGCATTTAGCGCCCGTTAGAGTTCGCCAACAATAGAATAAAATTGATGGCTAAATTAACCGATCTTCAGAAATAACTCGAAATGTCCACAATTTGTCCAAAATATTTTCGTGTTATGTTTTGTTGAAACTGCATTGTCTTTCAAACTTAGAAAATTACACATGACAGCCCCAAATACTTAAAACAGTTAACAACTATCCAAACAATCAAACAAGGCCCACCATACGACTATCCTGAGAAACATTTAATGAAAGAACGGTCCACTTATGTTAAGAAGGAAGTGAATTTAGCAACTCTGTTGTCTGATACGGTTTGTTATGCTGGACGTTTTCCCATATTTTACGTGTCACTGCGTGCATAATAGCAAGAGCCATAATGGCTCTTGATAAAAGTAATACCCGCGCCCGGGGCATAATAAAATGCTAGCTACAATGTGACCACAAATCAAATGAAAACTGAGTTGGCGGTGATCCTGGTTAAAATCCGGTCGTTGGTCTTCATTCTGTATTTCTCTGTTTTTCTTCAAAATCCAGAGGGTTGGAATCATTGGTTCAATATAAAAGTTTGAGAATTTTAAATTGATTTTTCCGGTTGTTTAGGGAGGGGTGATGTTTTTAATTGTGGAAAAATGGAGTACATTGGATTTCGAGGTAGTTGAACGGGATAATTGTCTTGTGTATTGCGTTACTACTCTAACAAGTTCTTTCATTCTGAATTCAACCCTATTTCCCCGGCCCAAAATACAATTTCAGGTCACTCAGGTAAAGGTACATTAGTATTATTGTTTTAATTCACAGGGAGTAGTTTCAATTTTAGATGCAACAAATTGCAAAGGGAAAATTGGCCGTTTTATTAATTTGTTTTCAACAATCTAGCTCAAGAGTCTTATCAAGTTTAGGTTGACGACGTTTTTCTCTTTTTTAGGCCGCCTGTCCCATTTCTGAGTTAAAGTTGTGCATCATGATCATTTTTGCCTTGATCGAAGTTTTCCTTAATTGTTAAGGCCCAGTGTCAAATTTTAATAAGATTCCCTTGTTTACTAACATTTAAATTTGCAAAAATATGAATTTTAGACTTAGAAGTCAAAAAAGAACTTCGCACGAATATATTTCCATTTCCCTCAAACAGTTTTTATTTTGGGTAAAGGTTATGAATTGTTTAGTACTGAAAAGGCTTGGCAAAGAATTTGGAAGTTAAGGTTTTTTTTTACATGTAAATGAGTCTACAAATTTTGATTTAAGAAAAACACATCGATAACAAGCCAATAATAGGCAATGAATGGGGACTCTTAAATAAGAAAAACGTTTAAGTTTAAAGGCGGTAGGACGATTACAAAAAAGAGAGAGATCTAGAGAGGGCCGAACTAAGCCAGGTACCTGACTGGAAACCAAGAACATCAACAAGAAAATCAACCTCCAAGGTTTGCGTTAAGCTGATCAGGCTGCTATAAGAGTTATACCGTTAATTGATGATGAGAGTAGAACCTCTTTACAACGAAGGGCCAATGGATTGGCAAAATTTGTTCGCTTTAAAGAGGTTTCGTTATACAATGGAACCCCGATATAATGAACCACTTTATAACGCAGTCCTCGATATAAGGAACCTCTACATAACGAAGTCCTCGATATAAAGAACGATTTTCCTTATCCCAGTAATAGTAAAATATATGAAAAAGAACCTCGATATAACAAAACCCTTCGTTACGAAGAGGTCCCACTTTATCGAGGTTTCTTTTTCATATGAATGAAGCTTTATTTAATCTCGGGTTTGATGAGGTTGGTTAGACCTCCAGATAAAATATGCTAATAAGCCCAGAGAAAAAAAAGCAAAGAAAACAAAACAAATAAATAAAATAATAGATAAAGAAAGGGAAATCCAAAAACTTATTTGCAGTATAAAGCCTAAAAATTACGTGACATAGCTATTTACAATAAAAAGCCCAATTACTTATATAGAATTAGCTAAAACCTTAGCTGTCGGACTGCTTTCTTAAAGGCTGACAATGTGCTTAGGGATCTTAGGGATCAGAAATCTTGTTCCAAGTAATAACCGCCAAGTACTTTACTGAGTACCTTACTTCATATTACTCCTAATTACTATCACTGGGGGTAAAGAAAATAGTTTTTATACCGAGGAATTCAATATATGGAGGTTCGTTATTTCGAGGTTTCACTGTATTGAACAATAAATGCCGGCTTCCTGCAGTGTCGCGGTTTATATATAGTTAATTCTTCGATATTTGCAAATATTATAGGAATAAAACATGTGTCACTACTATAGAAATTACTAAGACTTAGTGTAAAAGTTATCTAAAGCTTACCTTGTCCAAAACTTTGGATATTGAAACAAGAATGAATGGAAACGTGCAGTTCTCCCTATTCGAAGATACCAAGGAAATTTTATCTTTTCAGGAAAATTTTCCATTTGAATAAATTATAATATGAAGTATATGGAAAAAAACATTTGGTAGATTTTCATAATATTCCTCTATAGTATAATGATCTATTTTGACTTCAGCTGGCTGAAGAGAAGGTAGATTTGAACCTGAAAAATGTATTGTTATTCGTTATTTCGTCAGACCAAATACTCCCGATGTAGTGATCCTGTCAAATCTATTCCTTCTTGGCGTTTTCCAATTGCTTTTTTTTTCACTTTTCTATGAAAACAATTAGCAATTAGATTAATGCATTGCAGTAGTCCAGCCGCCGGGTTTTGATTTGGCGAACAGTATTTTAGCAACGAATAATAGTGGTTGTGAATTTACTTTGCATTATTCTGAAAAAAATAAAAAATATATAAAATAACAATTATTCCTCGATCCCGAATGGGCTCTGAGTCCATAGTAAAATCCAACTAGTTGGTCAAAAATATCGAGAATAAAAAGAAAAATAATAATAGCAACTTAAAGGTAGACTTTAATCCTTTTTTGCCCTGCACCAAAAGCTGGCGCTAATTTTCGCTACTAGTGGGCTATAACATATAGCTTAGTAGCAGCTCAACCAATCAGAACGCAGCATCGATAATAGACCACCAGTTGGATTTTCCTAAATATATATATATATGCTGTTTAGAAAGCTCATGTCCTTTCCCTCAAATTCAACCTCTGTCCTCGGAAAACTTCTGCTTGATTCATCCAACTCTTCATTCTTCTCTTAAGAACAACAGGTCATCTACCATTTTCTTTATTGATCTAATTTTAATTATCTCACTGAGATTTTAGTTACAAATAGGTACAAATAGAACTAATATGAACCACATACAGAAAAATGCTGATATCCGTTGACAGGACGCGAACTACAAAGTTTAAAATATTAATAGTACTCAAATACAGACCTGAGATGTCGTAATTACACTCTCCTAGGACTGAGCTTTTCAGGTATTATTTACAAAACCGCTTGTGGCGCTGTCGGAAAATGTCATAGTAATCAAATATTTATGACACTTAAATGTATTATAAGTTAGCAAGAGAGTATACTTTCTTTAAGATTGTTTTTAAAATATCAATATTGTTATTCATACGTTTGTTATAATTACGTTATGTCACTTTACATACGTAATTTTACTAGTAAGGTAATAGAAGAATTCGCCAGCGCAATCAAACAATTAGACACCCAAATTATTTACTGACGTTTTATTTTAATTAGTCAATCAACATTAAAACTGGAAAATTTGCAAAAGACCCTTTTCATCCCTTTATACTTGAACCCCAATAAATCTTCCACTGGCTCTGAAGACTGGGTGCTGATTTACTCTTGTAAGGGCAACTTGCTAAATTCTGCAAGTAAAAATCAAAACATCGCTACATGTAATTATCATGCAGTTTGTTTTCATTTCGTATTATCCAGTACGTATAGCCAAAGTCTATAGTAGCCTATAGCCATATTATACCAATTGTATCTATAGAATGCGTAGTTGGCAGTTTTTTTTGTTTGTGTTTCGAAAAGTAAAGTATACAGTCGTACGAAAGCTGAACCGAAGTCAAACGAGTAAACGGTCTTCCTCACACCCCCTCCCTTATCGTTTTCGTTTTCGTTTTCTTGTTTGACCTCTCAAACAAACGAAAAACCTTTGAACACTCGAATAAATCCGTCTGAATCCGTTTCAGTGTGGCTAAACTCGGGAATGCCATTAAATAAGATTTAAAATCAGCGAGTTGTCTTCGCTTAAAAAAGTTTTTAAGAGAATCTGTCATCTCCAAATACAACTGATTGGTGTACTTTACATGCAGCTAATTGTGTGCACAGCCGTTGTTTCATCTTGCTTCTTTGTTTATTCGTTTGTGTATTTGTTTATTTGTTACAGCTTATATATTTCTTCTTTGTGCGTTTTTGTGTGAATTTGTTTATTTATAACAACTTTGATATCTAGTTACCTTTCCGCACGGACCAGCCACTCAGCGCGATTAGCTTTTGCTATTTCTGAGTGGCTGTGCTCTCTCTCTCTCTCTCTCTTTTTTTGACAATTTTTTCCTTTTAATGTCTTTACACTTTTGTATCAAGAGCACAAAAAAGATTGTTGTTTTTGTATAACTTGAAATGCACCTTTAGTCAATAGGCCATTTCTGAGTCTCCCGGGCCTCTGGCAAACGCAAAAGCAAAAGCTTGAAAGGAATAATATTAATAAAAACAAACAAAGAAAGAAACAAACAACTAAAATTCAGAGGGTCGTGATTTCGATTCTCACCTGGAGCTCGGAAATCTTTGTCTGAGCTTTCTAGTGTTTGAATTCTCCTTCTTTAAACAAAAGAAAAATGAAACTCGGGCGCTATCTACTGAAAGTTTGACAAAATGTTCTGAGAAATAATGAACATCTATTCAGCCACTGAAAAGGAGGAAGTTTTGCCTCTAAGCCATTTTGAAAAAGGGACGATTTTGGCGGATGCCATTCATCCTCCACCAATGCCTCCCCTCCTCCCCTACCCCCACCCCCTCTTGCAAGGTGGAAATAAAAAAGAGCTCCAGCTGGCAGAACTCGAAATTTGTCTGGTTCTTATAGAATGCTGTCTCAATAGCCATAGAGTACATGGCAGGCGCAAGTTAATTGGGTAAGTTTTTATAGAGCGCGTGAGGAGGGAAACACATGAATAAAGGAAAAGGCGTGGCTTTTTCTTCCCTGGGACGCGCACGCGTCCGCGAGATTTTTCCCTTCCCTCTCAAAAAAAAAAAACCCGGCATCTTCTACGCAGGATGTAATAACCAATTCGCCCCAGGTAAGGGAATCCAACAGTCTTGGATTCTGTCTGGATTCCACACAGTGGATTCTAGATTCCAGGTACTGTTTTTTAGTTATAATCATTAGTGGGATTCTGGATTCCTTGAGCTGTATTCCAGATTCCAAAGACCAGGTTTCCGGATACCACAAGCAAATTTTTCGCGCATTCCAGACCAACAAGCAAAATTTTCCCAGATTCCGCAATCCGAATTCTCTTACATGTGGCGAAGCCAACGCAATACTTCTAAATTGTACTAACAATTGCAAAAGTTTATCAGTCTACGAATCCGTACCTTCTGGATTAAGTTTTCCATCCTGATCACCGGAATCTACAGCTGCCACATACTGAGAGGCAATAATGCTGAAGTTCTTACCGGTCTCAGGGCTTGTTATTTTCAAATATTCTGCAAGCTCTTCTGGCGTCACAAAGCCGTCTTCATTAGCGTCGACATCATCAAACAAATCCTATGAATTATCAAGAATTTAGTTTTCACTATTATGGCCCCCTATAATGGAATCCAAGACAATCTTGGATTCCGGATCCCAAGCCGCGGATTCTTGATTCCGGAGTCATTGTCAGAGGCACTTGGATTCTGGATTCAAATCTTTAGTGGGATCCGGATTCCTTGAGCCGTATTCCGGATTACGTTACATGGGGCGACTATTAGCCAACAACGTTAACCGCCAACAGTGTTTATCGGAACAAATTACAAATTTGAAGCATTTAAACGTATAGGAAACAATGACAAGCACGTTAACGTTCTGCATTCCCCCCGGAGGTTACCACTTCAGTTTTTCCAGTTGGCCTCCATATTGGCCATATGAGATTGTGCGTGAGACTGCACTACGGGGCTGTATTTTGGGGCGCTAAGGGTTCCTTCATTGGCTAATACCGAGCTGCGCCTTTCTCGAAACGCCGTTTTTTTTTTAGGCTGAGTATGCAAAATATTCGGTGGGGGCGTGATTGGCACAATAGTTTTTTGAATTTTTGGGGCTATAACTTTGTTTCTTTTAAAGGTATGTAACTGAAACTAATACAAGCAAGAATACTTGATTCCAGGAATATTTTGGATATCGTTTCTGTGGTTACCAGTCACGTGACTCTCTAGTGGCCAATTAAAAAATCAAAACTCCCAAAGGTTTCTTCTTCGTAGGTATGTAACCTGAAACTGTGATACTTTGCAGAAATACAGTGCACATAAAATTGAAGGACTTGTCCGATTTGAATTCTCAAATTTCATTTTTGTGACGTCACATCTGATGACGTCACAAAACGGGCTTTTTTGGTCATGCGCAGTACTCATCCAAAAAATGAAGAATTTGAAACAATAACTTCAGAAAAATACAACAGCGAAAGTCTAAACTCGTTATCTTCTATACTTTAAGAGATATTGATAACATTCCCTGCATATTTTAAAAAAGAGTTTGGACAAGTTTATGGCCGATTTTTCGCACTTTTCTTCCCCAGCGTGCTCTTCCTCAGAAGCCTCTTTGAGTCGTGAGGGGAGTGGAAAAAGGAAGTGCGCGGGGAACGATTGCAAGGGGGAAAGAGAGGACGAGAGGCCTTCCGCCTTTCCCCTCTTCCCATCGTCCACCGCGCGCTAATTTTTATTTTTAATAGAGAGAAGTGTGACGTCACGTTACCATGGTAGCACTATTTCTGGATGACAACAAAACCAACAACGACGGCGAAGGTAAGGAGAACGACAAAAATTAATATGTTTATATGAAAAAACAACAACTTTGCACGTGCATCACGCTATTTTGTACATTTCTTTGACGCCGTTGCACTCTACAACATGAAACATCCTAATTTCGCGAGTTCGCTTTATGGAGTAGGTGGACACACCACAAAAGTTGTCGCTGTCTTTTTCTTAACTTAGAAAAGAAAAATTTCGCCAAGATTTGCCAAATTAAATGAAACTGAATAAGATAGGTGAAGTTTGAAATAGTGCGAGTAGACTTTTAAGTGACTTTACCGGTTTGTTGTCATCCAAAATTTTGCTACCATTGCAACGTGGCGTAACGACTTCTCCTCTCTATTATTGCCATTTTAATTGGAACACCCAGAGAGGAGCTGCGCAGGAACTTTGGGCAATTAGGGTGACGCTTAAAAAATATTTTTTAAAATATTCATTTACTCAATTATAGGAATACTAAATTGTTCACTACTAAATCAAAAAAATTCATGTCAAGAAAGATGACAAGTACTCTTACATCAAAATCAGATCTGAATTATTCGGGACAATAAAGTTATTCTATTATCCGTTTATTAATGACCGTTAAGTTTTTATCACTTACAGAACTTCTTTCCAACAAGTAGAGGCTTCTGCCTACCACAAATGACGCAGTTGTAGCCATTAAAAGAGCCAACAGTAGCTTGTAATTTGCCANGGGGAACGATTGCAAGGGGGAAAGAGAGGACGAGAGGCCTTCCGCCTTTCCCCTCTTCCCATCGTCCACCGCGCGCTTATTTTTATTTTTAATAGAGAGAAGTGTGACGTCACGTTACCATGGTAGCACTATTTCTGGATGACAACAAAACCAACAACGACGGCGAAGGTAAGGAGAACGACAAAAATTAATATGTTTATATGAAAAAACAACAACTTTGCACGTGCATCACGCTATTTTGTACATTTCTTTGACGCCGTTGCACTCTACAACATGAAACATCCTAATTTCGCGAGTTCGCTTTATGGAGTAGGTGGACACACCACAAAAGTTGTCGCTGTCTTTTTCTTAACTTAGAAAAGAAAAATTTCGCCAAGATTTGCCAAATTAAATGAAACTGAATAAGATAGGTGAAGTTTGAAATAGTGCGAGTAGACTTTTAAGTGACTTTACCGGTTTGTTGTCATCCAAAATTTTGCTACCATTGCAACGTGGCGTAACGACTTCTCCTCTCTATTATTGCCATTTTAATTGGAACACCCAGAGAGGAGCTGCGCAGGAACTTTGGGCAATTAGGGTGACGCTTAAAAAATATTTTTTAAAATATTCATTTACTCAATTATAGGAATACTAAATTGTTCACTACTAAATCAAAAAAATTCATGTCAAGAAAGATGACAAGTACTCTTACATCAAAATCAGATCTGAATTATTCGGGACAATAAAGTTATTCTATTATCCGTTTATTAATGACCGTTAAGTTTTTATCACTTACAGAACTTCTTTCCAACAAGTAGAGGCTTCTGCCTACCACAAATGACGCAGTTGTAGCCATTAAAAGAGCCAACAGTAGCTTGTAATTTGCCATAAGGAAGTTTAATTTTACGGTGAGCTGCAATTCATAAATTCTGGTTTTAGAGAACATTTGTTAGAATAAGAAAAAGAAACGAGGCTTTTTGGACGCAAATGAATCAAAACTGATGATGATAATGATAATGGTGATGATGATGATGATGATGATGATGATGATAATGATAATATACTTAGAAATATTTTACATTGTGCATTAATAAAACAATCATTGTATTCTCCTTTTAAGGAGAATAAGTATGATATGAAGAATTATGTAGAACTCGTAGGCTGCTGTCCTCCTCAGCCTTCAGCCTCAGTGGATAATACCCCCTCGATCTACATAATTCTTCATACCATAAAGAATGTAGGTGTGAATGTCGCGTTTGTACTGACGTTTTCTTGTATATATTTATCTCATTTCACATCACTATATTTGATAAAAACTGAAAATAGAAATAGTTTTTTTATGGACCAATTTATGCCAAACTATCACGAAATCTCTAATTATCGAGAAAACGAATATTTCTACTAGAAGGTTTCTGATCGATTTTTCACGCCTAAAGACACTCACGCTGCTTCTTTTTAAAAGGTACATAGAATCATAGGAAGTAGAGGAGACTGGTGAGGAAACCCGGCAAACATCAAAGTTGAAAACAATGGTGTTGTAGGTTATGTTGAAAGCTCCCTGACTTTGCACAATCCTTTGTTTCCTGTTAACACATTATAACTGGATAATTTAATCAAATGTTTCTATTGGTCAACAACTTCAAAATGAAAGGAATGTTACTGAACGTTGTGCACGGTCAGGTCCAAAAAAGGTAACAAAAACCTATAACAAAGGGTTTCCCAACCATTGTATTTTAATTAACTTTGATAGAATTATTACTTCATCGTAATAACCCACGCGAAAATCCATCAGCTGAGGACATATTATACTTCTGAAAAGGTTCTGCACCCATGAATCTGGGGTTTCTCGAGCTTTTCTTATCGATGTGGGTCACCATGGCAATTTTAATTCCTGTATTGGCAAGCTTGATTGCGACTTCATCAAAAACGGATCCCTTTGAACATTGACGACTTTTTTCATAATGGACCAAATTCCTTGTACATTAGTCAGTATATTTGTGTGTGTCTACGTTAAAAGCATTAGTCATTTCGTAGTATCACAACAATCACTCTACTTCCATCTCCCCTGGTCGGTAGTGCACAAGCTTCAGATCTGACCCTATGAAATACGTAGGGTCAAAACTTAAACCCCTTTTATTCTGTCGCTTTTTGAATTTTTTTTTTTCACGTTTATATCCTCATTTATGATTATTTTCCATGTTATAAACGAATTGTATGGCCTTTAGCTAGTGCCTTTCATAAGCCTTCTCGATTTTTTTCTTCTTCAGCTTTTCTTAGGACGACTGCAAGAACCAAGGAGAACTGATTTTAAGACCAAAGGTTAGGTAAAATTTTGGGGGCTTAAACAAGTTGTGTATCGGGATATTTGTAGATGGTGAAGTTAGTTTTGGTATAAAGGTTCATATGAAATACGCGAAGGAATTATCAAATTTATTCCTTATTTGTATTTTTTTACTTACTAAACTGTGACATGCTTTCCTTTGGTGCTGTTTATTTTGCAGCGCAAGGAGTTTTTAACTGTGAAGTCTGCGGGGAAAGATGTAGGTGCTTGCATCCAAACTTTGGACCGCACTCTTAACCAGATGAACTTTTTATTCTATGAATACGGGATGAAATCCTGAATCTAAGTGTAAATATTACTATGAAAACAAGCCGCCTTTCAGAGCAGAAAAAAAAATAGCACTTCCATTGCCTTCCTGAATGAAGGGTCTTAACAGTGTTTGCTCTAGTTTGAATTGTACGTAAAATTCCAAAGTGTGATCACGAGAAAAATCCACTAAAACTTTCTTTAATTCGGGCCGTTAACTGAACTAAAAGTTAATAGCAAACTTACCTTATTTCAGTCTTTCGGGAAAGTAGAAATGGCGTTCGATGGTTGTTGAAAATTGTTTAAGGGATGAAAATATGCCTATATCTACCGTTTTTAAAAATACTAAAATACCTTCAACAATGCTATATTTAAGTGGTTTTGAACTATATTCTCGTTGACTGCCCCTGGGTAATTAACAAGTCGCTAGTTCTGTTAACATCGCAAGGATGAAAGCTCAGACTTTAGACTCCCTAAGCAGTTTGAACGTAAACTGCACCTTTTTTTCCATCAGGTTTGCTCGCTACTTATCACTCCTGCTCAGACTAGGAGCATGGTCAAACGAAACGTCGAACTTCACATGGGACGCTAGTAATGCTAATGAGCCAGAACAATAGATTTGCACTGCACTAGTATATATTACAGGTCTGTCCTATATGAAGTGCAACGTAACAGTCGTGTGGAACAGTGGACTCAACTTCGTCTGAAGTGTCTTAGGAACCTACCGACGAATGGTTCACAAAAGGTTTTGTGTCATTCTGGGCTCTTTCCATTTTTTTTTCAAACTAAGTTCCCATGGCAATTTCTGCGGTCTTTGACGGAACTTGACGCCCAAACATGGAGAATAATGTGCCCAATTTTCATAAAATTTTGCGAACGACGTTTGTTCAAATTGAATTAAAGAAAATTCACGGCAGTGACCGTAAAGTACGATGACACTTTAAAGTGTGATACACGCATTTAGCGCCCGTTAAAGTTCACCAGCAATAGAATAAAATTTATGGTTAAATTAACCATTCTTCAGAAATAACTCAAAATGTCCACAATTTGTCCAAAACATTTTCGTGTTATGTTTTGTTGAATTTACATTGTCTTTAAAACTTAGAAAATTACACATGACAGCCCCAAATACTTAAAACAGTTAATAACAATACAAACAATCAAACAAGGCCCATCATAGGACTATCCTGAGAAACATTTAATGAAATCACGGTCCATTTATCTTAAGAAGGAGGTGAATTTAGCAACTCTGTTGTCTGATAAGGTTTGTTGTGCTGGACGTTTTTCCTAACTCTACACGTCACTGCATGGATAATAATAATACCCGCGCCCTGGGCATAATAAAATGCTACCTACAATAATGTGACCACGAATCAAATGAAAACTGAGATGGCTCCCGTGGTGCGCGCTCGGTTTAAGCGGGTGATCATGGTCTTCGTTAAAAGCCGTTCCTTCAGTCTTCATTCAGTATTTCAGTCCTTTTCTTCAAAATCCAGCCACCCACAAACGGCTTAATACAGAGGGTTGGAATCATTGGTTCAATATAAAAGTTTGAGAATTTTAAAATGATTTTTCCAGTTGTTTAGGGGGGGATGATTTTTTTACTTGTGGAAAAATGAAATACATTGGATTTCGGGGTAGTTGAACGAGATAATTGTCTTGTGTATTGCGTTACTACTCCAATCAGTTCGTTCATTCTGAATTCAATCCCATTTCCCCAGGTACATTAGTATTTTTGTTTTAATTCAGAGGGAATAGTTTCGATTTTAGATTCAAAAAATTACAAAGGGAAAATTGGCCGTGAACCCCAAATTCGATATCATTACTTGATGATTTCGTTGGTCTGTGAAAGTTGAGGTTAATTACAAATCTGGTGTTATAGCTATGGATATTAGATGCCAGGATAAGAAGGGTTCCAGAGAATATCACTGGGATGTTTGCTGAGTCATAAGTATATATTAGTTTATGGGTATAAGGGCTACTTTGAATTTGCAGATGTTTTCAAGTACACTTTTCATGAAATCTTCTAAAAAGTGTAGTCTATAGTCTATAGTTAGGAACCAATCAAAGACAACAGCTTTTGTCATAAGCATCTTCAGTTGATATTTTTTGGTAATTCAGTAGTTCATCAGCTCAAGACCACGAGTGGGCGAAGAATTTTTCTTTTATTAAGTTCGTGAGGAGGCCCTTAAGAGTCGGGAACCGCTTGTCTTTAACTTCTCGTGACCTTAGTTCTTCCTCCGCGACAAATATTTCAAAACCCATTCAGTTTTATTAATTTGTTTTCAACAATCGAGCTCAAGAGTCCTATCAAGTTTAGGTTGACTACGTTTTTCTCTTTTTTAGGCCGCCTGTCCCGTTGCTGAGTTAAATTTGTCCATTATGATCAATTTTGTCTTGATTGAAGTTTTCCTTAATTGTTAAGGCCCAGCTGTCGGCACATTTAAATAAGATTCGTTGTTTACGACTTGATTTGCAAATATGAATTTTAGACTTAGAGGTCAAAAAGGAACTTCGCAAGAATATATTTCCATTTCCTCAAACACTTTTTATTTTGGGTAAAGGTTATTAAATGTTTTAACTAGTTCCAGATCTGAAAAGGCTTGGCAAAGAATTTTAAGGTTAAGGGTTTTTTTTACATGCAAATATATAAGTCTACCAATTTTGATTTAAAAAAAACCTTACACATCAGTGATAACAAGCCAATAATAGGCAATGAATAGTGACTCTTTCAAAATAAGAAAAAATTTTGAGTTTAAAGGCGATAGGACGATTACAAAAGAGAGGGAGAGAGGGCAGAACTAAGCCGGGTACGACTGGAAACCAAGAACATCAACAAGAAAATGAACCTCTAAGATTTGCGTTAAGCTGATCAGCCTGCTATATAAGAGTTAAACCGTTAATTCATGATGAGGGTAGAACCTCAATACAACGTAGGGCAAAGGGATTGGCAAAATTTGTTCGCCTTCACGAGGTTTTGTTATACAATGGAGCCCCGATATAGTAATGAGCCACTTTATAACGCAGTCCTCGGTATAAAGAACGATTTTCTTTATCCCAGTGATAGTAAAATAATTATGAAAAAGAACCCCGATGTAACAAAACCCTTCGTTATGAAGAGTTTCCACTTTATCGAGGTTCTTTTTCAAATATAGTACCCCTCATTACTATCACTGGGGGTAAAGAAAATAGTTCTTTATAACGAGGAATTCAATATATGGAGGTTCGTTATTTCGAGGTCCCATGGCCACGTATTGAACGATAAATGCCTGCTTCCTGCAGTGTTGTGGTTTATATGTAGTTAATTCTTCTATATTTACAAATATTATAGGAACAAAATATGTGTCACTACTATAGAAATTACCGAGATTTGAGTAAAAGTTATCTAAGGCTTACCTTGTTCAAAACTTTGGATATTTAAACAAGAATGAATGGAAACGTACAGTTCTTCCTATTCGAAGTATAGCCTCAAACTAGATACCAAGGAAATTTTACCTTTTCCTGAAAATTTTCCATTTAAATAAATTATAATATGAAGTATATGGAAAACAACATTTGGTAGATTGTCATAATATTCATCTATAGTATAATGATCTATTTTGACTTCAGCTGGCTGAAGAGAAGGTAGATTTGGACGTGAAAAATGTTTTGTTATTGAATTTCATTATTTCGTCAGACCAAATACTCCCAATATAGTGATCCTGTGTAATCTATTCCTCCTTGGCGTTTTCCAATTGCTTTTTTTTCACTTTTCTATGACAACAATTAGCAATTAGATTAACGCAACGTAGTAGTCCAGCGAGTTTTGATTTGGCGAACATTATTTTAGCAACGAATAGTCGTGGTTGTGAATTTACTTTGCAATATTCTAAAAAGAAAAAAA